TCATTTAAAAACACATAGTACCAAAACTGATGTTAAATTAAAGGAATTCCTTGCATTAGATATTAAGCTTTAAAGACAATTTAAGGGCAAAAAACAAACACTTTTTTATTATGTTATTCATTAGAGAATTATTTCATTTTACACGGAATTGTAACTATTGCCAATTAGACTGCTTGCTTTAAAAGACACTCTAGTCGGGATGTTCTCTGAATTACATAATTCACCATATTCTTACTAATGAAAAGTTTAGGTGACAGAATACATAATGCAAAAGTTCAAGCTTTATACTTACCATCCTTTATTCATTCATACATAGAATATGTACTTCATTATGTTAATCAAACTGCTACATAAGTCTATTTTTCTGAGTAATGCATTGCAATTCAATTTCACTTCGATAGAGTAGTGCAAGCAATTACATCTATTTCAGCCATAGAAACTCATCCCTCTGACTCTTTCTTTATCTTTTTAAATGCTGTATTGACTTACGGTATGTGAGCTATTAAAATCACACAGACTTACAAAGAATCTTCATTTACAAATGAAACTGAAGAAGAAAACTTCTGAATTTTTAGATCTCTGATATTTAAATTGCATTTTCATATGTATGGAAATAGCTCAGTTGGACTATTTTAAGTAATTCTTTAGTTCAACCTTTGTCTTCCTAGTCTAAACATTTTTTTTTTTATTTCTCCAAAGTTTATCTGGACTTTTTCAGTATGATGTATGTCAAGGAATCAGCCTAAGTGATAAAAGTAGGAAAGGAAAGAAAATCTGCACCAGTGAGTATTTATATTGGCAAGAGCTGACACTTTTGTAAAAGAAAAACAAGCACAGAGGCTGTTCATTTCTGAAATGAAATCAGCTTCACTTCATTTCTCTCAGGAAAACATCATTGCATGAAATGATGTAAATCAGTATTGATATCAGTAAGCTTCAAACTAGAAGAGACAAATGCACTCTGCAGCACAGTAATTCAATGGCTCCGAGTCAAGTTTACTGTTGTCTCATTTCTACTAATCATTGTAAAAATTCCCTGTGAAATAATTATCCCTAAAACAATCAAGACAGTATATCTCTATAAAGGAGAGGATCGATTTAACAACAAACTCTAGATTTAACTGTATTGATTAAAGGGCATTCAGTGTAATTTTAGTGAATTATGTTTGGCTTTCATTTCCCAGTAGAAATTTTTCTTGTGATGATCAAAAGGTAAATTACAAATTACTACATGGTCTTTTGTGTGCTACCTATATAACACCCAACTATTACTTTTCAAAGAAATATTGATGTAAGAAAGGACAAAATATTGGGGTTTTTTTATACATGACATCTTACTATAAGAATCAGATAACTGAGTTTATAGCACTTACCTAAGAGTCTGATGTCATCTTCTCAATTCATTAATACAGAAATCGGGACTGTACTAAAGAGTCTGTGTTAAAGGAACAAATCCAAGATCATCTTATGAGAATAGAATTAGAAAGATTAAGAAAGTAATATGATATTTCTTCTTAAATAGGAGTAATTTCAAAGGAGCTGTTAACACTTTCATTTCTGAAACTTCCTTACTGGCACAAGGGAGAACTAAAGGAATCAGAGAGATTCAAAGACAATTTAATGTATCTGTAAGTCTGACACCACTGCTGGTACAATTTAATTGAGGACTAATTGGAACTAAGAAGGCTAGTTATTTTGTGAACTGCACGTGTATTAGTTCCAGTCATTTTTAATCCAATGTAATGATGATAAAGAGTCTAACTTACTTTGTTTAGTTAATAACATTAGGCCAGAAAGGATCACCTAGTCATTTCATGTTACCCAATACATTGCTAATATAAACAATGTCTAATTACAGTGACTACATACTCCCATGAAATGACCAATTAGAGCATTTGCTGATTCTAAATGTTCACTGTTAGAGGCATTTCCACATGCTTTCTGTGGATCACATTCATAAACTCTATCCTAGCTGGTAGGAAACATAAGAGCAGAATACATGAGGAAAAGTTGGTTTTAAGCAGCACAAAGGACATTTAAATTCTCAGACAGAGCTTCCATGCAAAAATATATCAAATTAAAATGCATTTTTGTTATTCTCTAGGACTACGTAATATTGCACATTTATATGCTCTTCTTGCTGAATTGAACGGATCGTGCAGTGTGTTCAAGACTCATATGATAAAGTCACGTGTTAACATTTTAATATTTAGATCAACAAACTTAGTGATTTGTATTCAGTTACAAAGCTGATTTATTGACTGTTAATCTGTAGCTGATATGAATAATACCAGAATAATCTTATTTATTTTTGTTACTTTACTGATGAGTCAATAACTGCCACCTGAAAACACCAGTCCAGCATGTACCAATGTTTTATGAAGTGACAAAATCAGACAATGATATTGACAGCATGTTTGTTAACCTCAATTTCAAATCAAAATAGCAAAATGCAATAAATGAAAACAAATTGCTTTTTTAATGATTGAATTATTATCCCTTAAGAAATCATGCTGAAAAATTCACCAGTTCTGTCAAAGCAAATAACAGTATACCACTATGTGCATTACCAGATCTAATTCACACAAAGTTTTAGAAATACTGGAAAAAATGATACGTGGTTATCTAGGCAATTTAAATAAAATAAATGCATTTACAAGGAATGCAATTAATGCATATATCACAAACAAATAAAAATTAGATACTGCAAAAGTATCTGAAAGTATTTCATTTGCTCTGCAGGTGCCTAAAATGCTTTGCTATCACACATGTTTGTACTGTGCAAGGTCTCAATCCTTCTACGACTTCAGTGAGTTCAAATGTTGCCACTCAGGTCAATATGCTAGTGTCAGGTGCTTTTCCTATTCTTAAGCAATGCCCTAAACAATGCTAATCTACTTAGATGAAAGTTTTTCCTTGGAATAAAAGGCAGCATGGCAATCCACATATCTGACCACCAGAATTGTTCGAGGGAATTAAAATGTAACTGAAAGCCCATATCATGTAAATAATTACAATGTGCGAAAAGCTAAAAGCAAAAATTAACAAATCTTCTCTTTAATTATTAGTATATGCTGAATGTGTGCTATACTGTCTTGTCCAGGATATTTAAAAATGAAATATATGATAAACTTTGTCTTATTGTAATTAGATTAATAAAAGAAAGTAATTAAAAGACCCTCACTTTTTTTTCTAAGAGCTAGAAATTATTAACTATCCAGAAAAGAATCAAAGCTTTTATATGAAAAATCATTCTTTGGGCTGAATTGCAATAAATCAGTAAGACTGTTATTTTTCAATAGGTAATAATCGTCTTCATATAAACCAAAAATATTGTTTGGGATGATTAATACACAATGCCTATTATGCATTTGGGAGTGTCAATGCATAATTTTTAGTTCTAATGTTATTATGTAATTGAGAGAACATGTTCATTTGCCCTAATAACTACTAAGATGCACTTAATAAAATGAAATGTAATAATACTTGTAATTTAATCTATTCATGGAAGTAATTTTAAAAGTCTAGCATTCTCCTTAATGTGGATAACATTCATAAATTATAAAGTGTTGTGATGCAGAATTGACAATGCCATTGTTTTTTACACTTTGAGATGAATCTGCAGCCTTCATTATCTTCATACCAACTCAGGATTATCAAGGGCAAACAAAAGATAATTAACACAAGAAACAGGCAAATGCAGGAACTACTGAGTGAGGTTTTTCATTTCATGTAGAACCTTTGGAAACTGGAAAATAGAATAACTGTTCAAAATCTTTTTTTTCCCCCTTGCACAAAACTGTTCCAGTATGTTTTCTTTTCTACATTTTAAATATATTTTTTTTGTTATAAAACTATATTGGCATGTTCAATCTCAGATGTATTCAGTAAATGAATGTGTTAAGAAAAGCATTTTTTCAAAGTACTAGTGTTAATTTTCTGCAGTGGTTTTGCTTTTTTTTTTTCTAGAACAGCAGAGAGGTAACTATGGTGTGCATATTCAAATTCTATAGTTTCACTTACCCATAGCAGAGTTGTAAATAAGTCACTTCTCCTTACCTTATGGTGCAATGCTGTAGGATAAGGATGAAAACTTCTACTATACAAATTTGATTCAGAAATAAGATATATTTTTATGTTAATAGCTTGTAGGAAAAAGCATATGAGACTGCCTATGACATTTTTATATGTACTCACAGCAGAACAATAAAGGTTTACTAAATGTTGATATAGTTACAAGACAGTATACTTCACAGTGAGAATCCCTGAAATGTTTCTTTTCAGTTTTTTGCACAAGAAATCCTGAATACAATTCTGCATTGCACTCTGAAATGTTTGCCATAAAACTAGTAATTTCAGAAATTAATCCATGAAGATCCTCCACAAAGAGAACCTTTCGAATGTAAGGCAAAGAAGCATTATATCTTTGGACTCTTTCTGTAAATGAACATGCTTCTGAAAAGGTCCAGGCAAAGTCATTTTACAAATGGAAATACAGGACAGTGACATTCAGAGTTTTATACAACTTACGGATGTTGATGACAGTCCAAATCTCCTCCCTTTACTTACGTAAGAAATTCTTATTTCAGGGGAACGTGATTATTAGCCCATGAGCTATCCATGAAAGATTCAACCATTTGTGTTTAAACATCATGATATATTACAATACCGTCACTTTTTACATTTTAGTATTAGAAATGCCTTTTAAGTAACTGATCCAGAGATGATATGTGAACAGTAGGAGCTTGCTTTTCACCCAGCACAGTGGGTTGACAGCTCTTTATGCAGGGATGAGGTTTACACACTAAGATTCAATCCGCAAGACAACTTGATGAGTCTGCTTCTCTTCCAGAACCTTTTTTCTCTGGTCTTGATTCACGCTGGACAGTGACAGGCATCAGAAAGTGCATGGGACAGGGAAGCCTTTGTAAATACACTGCCCCTCAGCCGGACCTCAGCAACAGGAAGAGGTTCAGGCCAAGGCCCAGTGCTCTCTCCACGTCCTTGGTTCAGTTCTCATGGCCAGACAAGTATTTAAGCGCCTGAAATCCCACAGCAACTGTGTGGTTCATGATAAGCTCAATATGAGTCAACAAAGTTCCCTAGAGATCAGAAGGACATGAAGTCTCCTGGGGTCCGTCAAGCACAGCACACCTAACTGGTTGAAAGAAGAGACTGTACCACTGGGCTCAGCCTCACCTCAAGTACTCTGTGCAGTTTGGGGCTCTATAATAGATTATAATGTGTCCAAAGGAGGGGAACAAAGATGTCAAAAGGACTAGAGGGCATGACTTATGAGGAGCAGATGAGTATACTTTTTTATTTAGCTAAGAGAAGAGAAGGCTAAAGGGTGATCTCATCACTGTCTACAATCTCCTCCTGAAGGGAGCAGAGAGGGAGGTGTTGATCTCTTCTTTCTAGTGTCCAGTGATGGAATGGATTAAAGCTACATAATCAGAAATTCAGACTGGATATTATGAAAAAGTTCTTCACTGAGACGGTGGTCAAACACCGGAACAATCTCTTGAGGAAAGTGATCATGGTCCCAAGACTCCAACTGGACTTCAATAAGTGTTTGAACAATGCCCAGCTTTATGTTTTAACTTTTTTTTCGGTTTAACTTTTAGGTTGCCCCATGTGGAGGCAAGATTTGGAGTCAGTGATCCTCATGGGTCTCTTCCAACTCAGGATACTCTAGGAATCTAATATTCTAACTAATGGGAGTCTCAGGCACTGACTAGTTGTCATTCTAGTTCCTAGATACTTCTGAAAAACAGAGCTCTAAACTTTTCCCACAATCAGTTGGGAAGCTTGGGAATTTGGGGAAAATTAAGAATCAAGATGCTAAAACTCTTAAGTGCTATGGGGATCTAATTTTTTTTTAATTAAAACTCCTTTTTTTTAAGGACATTGGCTTCAGTTCTGCAAATATTTGTATAAAAGCTTTTTAACATAAGGTCTTTAAAATTAAACATACCATGGCTGGAAAAGATACCATGTGCCTTTGAACTAATAGAGAATATCAGTTCCTTCACATAAATTTATTTATTTAAAAGCCCCTGTCCTTTCATTGAATTCATCTTCTATTTAAATACCCTTCCCCTGAAGGAAGATAAGGCATACTCTACTATCTGTGAGTTGACTGTAAATATATTTTATAGAGTATGGTACCTTTTTTAATTATGCACAGGAAAACACAATCCGAGTAGCTTGATTACCAGGTGACAGGGTAAAATACACATGGTGCCAGATGGTGGTAGTGAGCCTCTGTTGCAATCACTGCTCCGCATGAACCCACCCCTGCCTCCTGAAACAGAAGCAGCAGCCTCTGCTGCTCCAGAGGACATACATTCTCCATTACAGAGACATTTCAGTGAAGTCCTTCCACTGTTTGTCCTTCCAAATACTACTGCTATTACTACTACTAATAATAATAACAATAGTGAAACCTGTTTGCTAATCTTCATGTATATTATGAGGCTTCTTTCTCAAAAGTTTTCTCTAGATCTATCCTGCACAATTTTCTAAACATCTTTTAAATGTCTGTGGTGTTCATGGTTTTATTTTAAGACCTTACTATACACCAGGATTTTCAGAAATCTGTAGTAAATAAGAGCTTCATCGGAACGAAAGGAGCTTCTGCAAGCAGACAGGGTGACTGTGGAAAGGACTACTTTCAGCTGGTACATGAGGGGCAATGAGCTACTTTTAGGTCTATATGCCTAGCAAATTTTCCAGAACTCTTGGAAGAAAGCAGAGAAAGTTTGAGAAGATTGGCAATAAGTCATTAAAATTTGAAATAAACAACTTCAAGTGTATCAAAGGACTAGATTTATCATATACTGGATACAGGTTGATTTTTCTCCCTTGTAGGTATATTTATGAAAACACATGCACCACAAAACATGCATCCACAAACCTATTGCCTGAGGATGAAATGATAGTAGATGATAACTCTTCCAGGAAGAACTGCCTTTGTGCTACATTTAAACTCAGCGTTCAACTTCCAGTGCTGAACCAATACAGAATTTTCTATTTCAAGTTGGGCTATATGTGATAAGGAAGCACTGAATCCCAATATTTACCCCTAAGATTCAACTTCTATTTACAGTGATCAGAATAAGGATGAATATAGTGTCAAAATCTTTCAGCACCTCAGAAGTCTGACCTAACACCTGTAGAATCCTTACAATATGGAAACGATTGGAGGTTTTATGCTTTTGTGCCCTAGAGATGCCATAAGTGCTTCCTTGGCTGAACGCTTGATGAATGCTATGTTGTGGCTGCTTCAGAAATCCTTTAGATCTCCTTTCTGTCTTTAGTTTTGAGATCCCTCCTAGAATACATAATCCTAGTATGGGGTCAGCTTCAACATGCGGTCCTTCTTGTGTTACAACTAAGAACTGATGAGAGTCAGAAAGAAAAAGGTACTTTTCCTTTGATTATCCTGCATGAGATTATGCTTCTGGTTTTTCAGGGGTAGGATTTACTGCTTGAATAATTGCAACATGTGCCAGATTTCCAAAACTGCCTGCCTAATGACCATAACTGCCAAATATATGCAGAAACTGCAGGAACAAAGAATGGGTAGGTAATCTGTCTGTGTGTGCAATTATAGTAGCAGTTGTTCATACACGTTGCATGAATGTAGTTTTATGTATGCAATTATGGAAATCAAAGCCTAAGCTTGTACTGACAAACGTAGATACCTCCCTAACTGAAAGTGATGCCAGCTCTACTCTCTACTTTCAACTGACTGAAGAGCTTTTAAACTTCTTTTACTATGTTGATTCTTCTAGCTGTCCATGCACACGGTGTCTTATAATATTATTCAATTGATCTGCAGTTGCAGGGGCCAAAGTGGATCTCTAGAAAGAGGGAGAATAATTGTCCAAATTTATCAGTCATGTCAAATAAATGGCTACAACTCAGAGTGAACTCTTGTGAGTGGAGCCGGAGAAAGGAGTAATCTGGAACTCTTTTGAGTATCTCATTGATGTAAGAACAGACCGACGAAGCCCTTGTTTGGTGGTCCAATTGTTCAGTGAACACATACTGTTGAAGTTACTGAAGCATATCCATTAATCTGTGTGCTACATGCTGAATAAAGGGATGAAAAATGCTTGATTCAAGCCACAAAATGATTTATTTGAGTTACAGCTGGTGGGGTTTTTTTTCAATCAGTTGTGAATTGCTAGAACATATTTTATGTCCAGAAATTCTCAATCAACACTTTGTGGAACTCTTTGTGCACATTTAAGCTGCAATCTGAAAGTGAATTTCAAGTCTGAATAATGTAGCTAGTAATTCTGTATTGAGTCTGTCAAGTAAGGAAAGCTTAACTTTGTCTATGGACTCAAAACAAAGTTTGACTATGGAAAAATATGGCTTGCTTATGCCAGTACCTTTGACTCAAAGAAGGTAATTCTGTCACTCATACTTGTGAGCTGTTTTCAAAAAGAATGAAAAGCATTAACTCATCTCTCAAGAAAACAGGGAGGAATATCAACTTCTATATAGAGAAGTATTTAATCACAATGTTACACACAATTTCATTGTAACATCACATCAATGTTTCCCCACAAATACACTTGGGGGGAAGGGAAAGGCAAAAAAGCTTTAAAGGTCATGATATCCCTTAGTTTAATAATTCTCAGTTTCTTTAAAAAAACTTCTATTTCAGATAGATAGATAATGGTGGAAGTTACACTTCAAACTTAACACGTTTTAACTCAAATGCTGATGGTTCAAAGGTGATATGGTAGTTAGTGCCTTTAAAGACTCTGGGCTGAGCATCTCATGTTCAAGTATTTATCTCCAAATAAAATAAGAGACCTGAGGATGAAGATATCTACCAATGCTATGAGGATAGAGGAGGACAGGTTCCTAATAGTTTGCTAAGAACACTGCTTTGACTTTTGACTACAACACAAAAAAGTAACACTGTTACTTTTATCTTACTCACTGTTAGAAAGTCTCTTCATTAGCAATCATTATGGTTTGCATGCTTCAGTTTACACAGCAAGCAATAATTTCATAGTTCCTATGAAAGGCATATATCTCACTTCTCTATTTATTCAGTACTAGAGATAGGTATTGTATTTCTTTATTTATTATTTACCTCCAAAAAATAAGTAGGTCTAACAATCCAGATCATATTCCAACTTTAGATTTTCATACTACCTGACCAGGAAAACAATTGAGACAGTGTGGCGGAAACCTTTTCAGTTTAATGAGAGATAACATTGATTTCTTGTGCTTCCTCCTTGTTCTGAGGTATGGCAAAAGATTTCCACACACCAGATAAGACCAGGCTTCTCTGTGAAGAGGGATGATTCACCTTCCCCACCTCCCCTGGGAGAGGAACTTGAACTGGCACCATGTGCTTCCCTGAGGGATCAAATCCGAGAAAAGACTATAGCATAGCTGAGCCACAGGGTCTACTTTCCAGCATGGAATTCAGAATTTTGCTTAAAATGCTCTGATTTCCAGCCAAGTCTGTTAAGAGAGTGAACCATCTCCAAATAAAAACTATACCAAGCTTGCAGGCTAGGGAAGGAGCAGGCCAGGCACTGTGTTCAGTATTCCTGACTAGGTCCAGGAAGGCACCCTTTGTACACTGAGGCCTACAGTCCAGAACCCCTGCTAACAATGGGCTCAGCTGTTCCTCCTTGCAGCTGAACTAAACTCAGACAATACAGTAGTGATCTCCCTGCCTATTTATAATTCACGCTGCCATGTTCTGTCCCCTTCTGTACTTCAGCAGGTTCAACTTGGGATGTTATATGGGAGTATCCAACCCAACCAGCCATAGGCTACTCTTCCCCATTTGCCAGCAGTGCCAGGGTGCAGGGAAAGACAACAGACTGTCAGGGCCAGGGAGAGCAGAATGACAGAATAGTTTCTACCTCCAGTGTGCTTATTGCTGCATATTACAAGAAATTACATCCTGCCTGCTGTTCAGCGAACGTTTGGCTAAGCTTCTCAGGAGAGGGGGACT